CTATTTGGTTATTAATTATGCTTTTAAGAAGTCACATTACCAGACAATCGTTTAGATAAGTATTTAATGCAACTGTTTTGGTTAATATCTTGCTACTTTATATTGGCTAATTGAAAAAAATTGTACTCCTTATCAAAGCTGTCGCACATATTTACCTTATTTTGATGAATGGATTTTGATAATCCCGTGAATTTTTGCTTTACAGCTTAATAAGGACCGACGTAAAATGCATACGCGGTATTATTATTATTTCCAGTTTTACTTCTTCAGATTTATCGAAACAACAGAGTCCTTTCTCTCCTTTTTCCTGTTTGTTTATTTTACTTCATTTAGGTACCTGCTTGTAATTTATTTTGTAGGTCCTGTATAATACAAATCAATATGTTTTACTTCACTTCGAGATTATTTTCCTTCTTTATAATGTAAAATATTGAAAGGCCACCTTCCATGATTTTTTTATCAATATCTAATTTGTTAACATACGGATAGAGTTTGTTAATTACTAGCATTGATAGAAGCAGTCACACACCTATGGAATTTAATTTGTTTTGACAAGCGAACGTGTTTGATGGCGATCAAGAATTTGTCTCGAGGGAGATCAAACCTAAATCCTTTCTAATAAAGGCCTGTAAACTACATATGTACATAATATACAGGTTCTTTTAAGCAATTAGGTAACTTTAATAAAATACATTAGTAAGGCAGCCAATGTTTGAGATTAAATACGTAGATACCTATCACATAACACGCGATTTGATTAATTGTGAATTAGTGTGCCTAAAGGATTTGTCAGGCTTCAAATAAAACAGCGAATGCTGCAGAATGAAGCTACTTTTATTAAAAGACCGTGGTTACAAACTTAAAAATCTCAACGATTTTTCTCTGTTATAGCAAAATATGAAATCCTAACTAATATAATTACGAATGTGAGATACTTTTTTTTGTTACGATTTCACACCCTACCGATTATCATGAAATTTTGTACACGTATTGTCAAGCGTACAGAAAAGCACATAGGGAATGATGAAAGAATTGCAACTTTATTCACTTTTATCACAAGGTCGTCAGTTTTAAGACTGGTTGGACACACAACTCCACTCCTTCCTGTTCTGAGCTAATCTTCGCATTTCCCCAAAACCAGAACAACCCACATCCTTAACTATTTGCGAACAGTAACCTACTCCAGGTCTACCTCTACTCCTCTTAACTCCTGTTTCTGCTAATATATCTTTTACTAGACCTTCATGCCTCAGAAGGTGTTCTATCAACCTATCTCGTCTATTTCTTATTGACTTCCATAGGTATCCTCATTCATTTACATTTACAATCATAGATGCAGATATAGTGCTTAATGTTTAGTATTAATTTAATTAGTAATAAAACGTTTATTTCTCAATAGGATTTCATTTTTATTTTTAATTAATAATATTGGTTTTATAAAAGCAAAGCCCCCTTATCTATGAGGCCCCCAACCCCCTTCCTTTCGAGCCCACTAGAAACACTTCACTATTTATCGTATGTACTGCCTGTCTACTACATTTGTGCTTGTCATTTCTGTAATAAATTACTTATTTTTTTGTATTTGTGGAAGAGGGGAAATCTTCAAAAGACACCCAGTCGTCCGTACGACCGGATAGTGTCGGATTTCCGAGAAAGGTTTCCTCGGGCCTACCAATTAAAACCCCTTTACCTCAGGCTATTGTAGGACCTATCGATTCAGGTTTTCTTCAGCCGATAAATTACTCTCCGAAAGTTGATTTATATATTGGCGAAAAGAGATTCAAATGCTAATCAAATCAAAGACTTAAGAGGCACCCCACTCTTTTATATCCTAGGCGTATCTTCACATTACTGTAAAACTAGATGATTCTACATCTGTAACTACCTGTGGACAGTCAACTAATCTAGGTCTTTATCTGCTCCTCTTACTGACCATTTAATGAAGTCAATAAATTAAACGGTCATTAAAAGCGTTTGCGTATGTATCAACTATTGATTCTTGGCTGACTAGTGTCTAAGCAAAAAATCAATATAATTTGTTCCCTTAGAATAATTAGGAGTTCAAAGAACGTTCAATTGAATTGATATTATTCCCGGAGCTTGTTCCCAACAACAGAATGGCGATCTAATATAAAGTGCAGCGAATTTATTTTCTATTGCTCTTCAATATTTATTCCTTTTTTAGGTCACGGCGCTGTTGAGTTTTTGTGGAAGATCAGTCGACTCGCTGTATAAAATAATAATAGGCATCGAAAGTAGGACATAAAATTGGAATTTCATGATCCTTTGCTACAAATTAATGTAAACGGCGGATAAAATTTATAAAGTCACTTCACGGAGTCGACTAGAATAAATTGAACGTCAACATAGTTAGGATGAAATTGAATACAAAACAAAAAAAGTGACAAACACTAAGCAGTGTGGGAACACCAAAATAATTTTCATTCAACAAAATAGAACTGTAGAATTTCTGTACAAAATTTCGATACCGAAGGTGACATAGTTTTTAAAACGTGTTCAACTATTAAAAGTGGCTAGAATATTTTAAGAATTTATTATGTGTAAAACGGTGGCAAGTAACAATAGAGCACATTAATCGATGTCAAAAAATGTAGACAAAGAAACTGATGATATAAAAAACAACAACAGACGAAATCGAAAAAGTAATGAACATCATAAGGTCGACAGTCCTAGGACTGGTTGGACACGCAACTCCACTCTTCGCATTTCCGTAAAACTAGAACAACCCACATCCTTAATTGTTTGCGAACAGTAATGTAACCTAGGTCTACCTCTACTCCTTCTAACTCCAGTTTCTGCCTCTAATATGTCTCTGACTAGCTCTTCATGCCTGACAAGATGTCTTACCAACCTATCTCGCCTATTTCTTATTGACTTCCATAGCGTCTTTTGTTCTCCTATTCTTTCTAACACCTCTTCATTTCTAACTTTCTTCTGTCCAAGGTATTCTCATCATTCGTCGGTAACACTACATTTCGGACGTTTCGAACCTTTTCTTTTCCGCCACGCTCATTGTACATGTTACGCACCCACACAACGCCGTGCTTCAAACATACACCTTTAACAGCCTTTTTTCGAATTTCTGAATTAACCGTTGGCGAGCATAGGAGTGACATACGCTACGCAGTGTTTTTATTGAAGGCGAGGGAGCAATACAAAAAATTAGAAAGGGAAGAGCGGCACTATACGATTCCATTAGGCCTGAAATAATACAAATACTGGGAAACACGAGAATTTTGTTTCTAAAGAAATTGTTTACAGTTTAGGATCCAGCTAGAATACCAAAAAATTGGGAAATATATAGGTATGATTATACCTATATTTAAGAAGGGTGATAATAAAGATTGTAAAAACTAAAGGAGAGTAACATTATTAAATAATATGATATCCATTTCTTAAATCCACTGAAAGTAATAATTTTTCGTTTAGTCTTGCCCATTCGGTCTTGGACTTAAATATTCGGTCTTGGTTCATCTTTCTCTCCCCAATCGTCACCTGCCGATTCCCACTACTCCTTTTTTGTGCCTTTAAACCTTTCGTCTCCGCATTAAAGTGCAATTCGGAGAAATTAAAAAAAAACCCTTGAATATCCAGAATAAAATGGAATTATTGTAAGAATCTACCCAAATTGTTTGGGATGTTTTATTATTTTGAATATTATTAATAAAAAACATTGTTACTTTTTGTACAATTGTACCACATATATAACTCGAAGGACCATAGAAACGCCGAGTTGTAAATATAACGAATTTATTGTACAACTTACAACTACGACCTATTCTAACTTATTATAAATATTGAATTTTTATTGGTGTCTTATGAAAATAACTAAAGTCTAGTTACTCTCAGCGAGTCTACAAAAGAACTCTTCTATCAAACCTAAAATTTTGTACACTAGATTCCGAAATCGACAAATTATCCCTCCCAATAACGAGGTTATTGACACTAATGCCAATGCAGAATATACTAACCATGGGATAAACCCTCATTTGTGCTTCTGCGAATTTGCCTATGTGACCGTAGATTTCGGAAATATTTCTAAGTCCAATAACAATAAACTTTACACTAAAGGTGTAATAAAATATGAAAATGTTTATGCCATAAAGTCCCTGCGTCGGCATATCACAAATAAGGTTCCTGAACAAACATATTTTTGAAAAAGTTAGGGATAACAAGTAGACAATCGAATAAAATAATTCGAAGTGGTCTGTATTCTGTCGAAACTGCCAGACACGGATCGCGATTTCGATCTTTTTGGATCTCATCAGCGCGTCGCAGACAGCTCCGACAGAACACAGACCAACTTTTACCTGCTGTTTTAACAGAGCGTTTTAGAAAACACCACAAATGGCGCGGTAAACGCCATCTGCAGTACGATGCTACATTTTAGGATTACGTATGCTCCAACAAGGTCCATTTAAGTAACAAGTAGATATTTTATAAAAACGGAACCCTATTTTGCGAGTTTTGGAATAGTTACTTCATAAAAATTTATTTTTTTTGCAAAATAAATGTTCTCAATAAGAAACTTTACGATGCTACACGCGTTCTCAACTCGTAGTTTTTCATTCATATCTCCTTACAAAGTGGTAATCTCAAGTGGCAGGATAATTGCAAAAACTACCTATAAGGACCAATCAATATCTCTGTATTATTTTACTATTTAATAATTATTCTTAATTACATCGTTGAAAAACGATCATTCTCTGCATATCGCGCTTGCTTAGCTGTTTTATTTATCATTTATGAATTATGGATGAAGAAAGACAGCCATGAACTGCTCTTTAAATTGTTTTCTGCTGCTACGGAACCACGTAAAGAAAATCTCGTTAATCCTATCCAAAGATTCGAACCAAAAAAATAAATAAATGTTGTAAATGGTAGCAACAAGGCATTTCATCGTTAATTAAGTGAATTTATTGCTCTACTAATTTATTTAGGTTGAACTTAGCCTAAATCGTCTCATTTTACCATTTCAGGAACTGCTAGAACAGCTATTTAAATTGTTCGACCAATCCAGAGATCATCAATTGCCACAAGAAAAATTCATCGAATTCCTTAAACAAAGAGTAACGTAAGTACACTAACAAAGACAATGAAATTACTTTTTAATAGAGTTGGAGAGAAACAGTAGACGAACAACACCATGCAATAAATTGCAGCGTCTTTTTTGTGTACTATATGTTTATTTTGTTTGTACTCGTATTCTCTGTAAATTGGTATTAAAGTAAATTACAAAAATAAAGAGTAAATACAATACGAATGCTAATTACCAGTTAATTGAATACGGCGTTGCATTGTCACATTTCTTTACAGGGACGGAATTACATTTACTTGCACTTTGAATTAAGTTTTTCTCGAAAACAGTGAAGTATCACAAATATAAACATTTACTTAATTTTATTCTTTTATAGTATCATATTACTTTCTGCAAGCTTACTGTTTATCTCAGATATACCCTGTATATCAGTATAGGCATTTTTGCTTTGATGCTTCCTAAACTTTATCTCCGTTTAAGAAATACACATTCTGAAAGTTATACATATAAATCTGTTGTATTTCGCCATGAACCTACTCATTGAAGTGGTTAATTTTATCACATAATTAAACTGTTTACGAAATCTGCAGATAGGATTTTAACCAAACCTGTAGGTACAGAAATAAGTGCCGATTTTTGGGGATGTAAACTAGTTGCAATAAACAATTGCATGGTGTGTTTAGCAGCATGGTTAAGGGCAAAAGAAAATTTTAAGAAAATCACAATAATTTACAATCGGAAGCCGGTCCTGTGCGTGAATTGACAACATAGGTGCCTACGATATAACGTAGTGCAGTACTGCAGCTACATACATGATGGAGAATGTAAAAATTACCGATAATCGAACATCTAAGATAAACATAAATAATTTAGTAATAATAGTGTTTAGACTAAATAAATTAAATAAGTACAATATAGGCAATTTTAGGCAAATTTCCACACTACTATTGAGGTATTGCCAAGGCGCGTTACCATTTTTGCGGGTTGTTGTAAGTAAAGTTACGAAAAAAGTCAAATAACTTTCCAAATATTTTCCACCACACATTTACCGAAAACAGTTTTTGAAATCGCGACGGATGTACGACATGCGAATTTGCGTCGCGATTTGTGCGATTCTTGTAAAAATTCAAAAAACATTTTAATATAGCAAAAATTAGACTATGCAGAACAACCATACAAAAACAAGGCTTACACTCGCTGCAAATGATAAAGGCCCGTGTACTATTTTGGGGATTGTCCCTACAGTAGCGATGTGGTTAAAACCCCGTATATACATATCATGCCACATTATCGTAACAGGTGTTCCACAATGACTGACCTGCAGTAGTGATTGATGTATTGCTGAATTAGATTATTCGACTATATATTGATTACCCTATAAAAGGTTTAAATGTTAAAAGAATAAACGCGACTACTAGAATTTGGCTGTTAACATAAACACCCTGGATCACACTTAATCTTATCTAACAAATAAACAATACATGAGCAAAAAACTGCAAAACAAATACTACACTGATGCTGGTAATCCTTTGCTGATTGAGTGCAGCGTTGCTGGCCGAATTTTTCTACCAAGACTGGAATTGAATTTACCTATATTTTGAACTACGTTTTTCTCGAAAACGATTAATTTTCAGACATACAAATCAACTCCTGCAAACTCGGCGCTTATTTTTGTTACAACCTGTATACACTACTGGCGAGCTGAAAAATACGACGTGGTATAAACAATTTCGTACAAATACCTACAGTCACCTTTTCATTTAAGGCCAATTTAAAACTTTTGAGGGGTATTATTAGGCTTTTCTCAAAAGATTTTGAGAGTTTGATTAGTTTAGAACCGTTTTCAGAGAAACAAGAGAGAGATATTTTCAGACGGATGTATAGGGTTGTTCGGAAAGTCATTTCGTTTTTTCCCGACAGAGGATTTAATTGTATTCTTTTGCACCCAACTTCACATTTAAGCCGTATAATTTTTATATGCTTTGAGAGCTCATATAGCAAGGCTTGTGTGTGAAAAATTCCAATT